CAATAAATTTACAATTAAGATACCAGGCAGGCAAGACTGAAATAAAGGTGTACCCATACAAGCTGCTGATACCTGGTACACGGATGGCTCAAAAACATCGGAGGGTGTGGGAGCAGGCATAGTAGGGACAAATCAAGGGATACATTTCCCGGTAAGTCTATTTAGGGATGTGACAGTTTTCCAGGTGGAAATAACTGAAATCCATCACTGCGTGGAAGAAATAGAAAGGCAGGAAAGAACGTTATGTTCAGTTGCCATCTTCACAGATAGTCAGGCAGCGCTTAAGGCACTCAATTCTGTAGAGGTCAATTCTAAGCTAGTATGGGATTCCGTGTGTGCCCTAAATAAACTAGGAGACCGTAGCCTGGGTACCGCGGCATGAGGGTGATAAGGGCAATGAAAAAGCAAATTAAATGGCCAAACAAAGCTCATCAATGCCATCCATGGAACCGGAACCGTTCTGCGGCGTTGCAAAGTCAGTAACAAGAACGCCTACAAGGAAGTGGGTAGCTCACAAATCTCGGGAATGGTGGAGGAATTCACCAGGACAAAGACAGGCGAAACAGTTCATTACAGAACATTAGCCAAAATTTACGGCAGACCTAATAAGCAAAAAAAGGAAAACAGTCAAAGCCTTAGTAGGTCTTGTAACAGGGCACTGTAAGCTTAACAGGTACTTGAAGCTGATGGGATTACCAGATGATGACCTGTGCAGAGTCTGTCACCTCGAAGAAGAAACAGCAGAGCACATTTTATGTCAGTGTGACAGTCTGGAAATTGTGCGGTTCTTTGCATTAGGAGAACAAAATCCACCGTTAAAGAGCTACGCTACATGGAAGCTACAGTCTCGAAGCTACTAGACTTTATAAAAAGGGTCAGGCTAGAAAATGTTATCTAGGACTAGAGGACCACAATAGATCTGAAAAGGTCGCAATGAAATAGGCCGAAAGGCCACCTCTCTTAATCTAATCTAATCTAATGTATAGTAAATTACATATATTTAAAATATATTCAATAGTTGAATAGCAGAGGTTGTATCGGTCAATAATAGGCAAATGAAAGTCGTCAACTACTTCATTGATTTAATTGAATACGTTTCGCTTTTTGTTTTCAAAAGCATCATCAGTTCACTACAAATAAAAATAAAAAGATTTAAAATATAAGTAAATAACCAAAAGGGTTCATACTTACAAAAACAATTTGTAAGTTTTTTTAAAGATGTTAAAAACACTCTACGATAACTTAACATTAAAAACTTAAAAACTAAACGATAGAAACGAAACAAAAAACACACAAGAAAAAACTGAAAGAGCACTATTGTTTATTTAATTTTTACCGATGGCTTCGTCTCAATGTTAAGCTCTTTCGAAGATCCAACACAATAATCTCTTAGATTGTTTTCTATCGGTTGTCGGCTGTCATATTTGCACATGTGGCTTGTGTCGTACATATGTTTCTTTGGAAAGCAGTGAGGTATAATTATTAAAAAAGTTAGTAAACAGAACGGGGACAGCCCTATTTTTCAAAAAGGCAATTTTTTTTTCTTCCTCTGTCTTTAAAAAACAAACAAAAAAAAACAAAAAAAAAATTTTAAAAATAGGGAAAGAAGAAGGGGAATGAAGTTACTATCTCGTAAATGTTTTTTTTTTATATATATTAAAAATACATAAATTACATAAATAAATTACATAAATACTTCTTGTTGAGTAAATTAATTTAATTCAAAATTTAAAAAAATTTTGATCACTCTGTATAAATAATTAATGGTGGGTAAATACATGCCAAAATATCATAATTTAAAAATAAAAATCGACATGTTTCGAGATTTATCGCCAAAGTTGATAATTCTCGAAAAAATTAATTCCATAATTTTGCCCCTCTACTCTATATATATATATATATATATATATATATATATATATATATATATATATATATATATATATATATATATATATATATATATAGAGTTTGTATAACGACGCTAAGAATACAATTCTTTGGAGGGTAACTTTCGGGAAAGCGTCAAAACAAGGATCAGCTAGAGATGGTATAAGCCAGTTTGGTGTAGAACTTTATTCTAAATGTGAAATTTTCGGTGATATGTTGTCACCTTCATCAGCACCTAAATGGAAAACCTAAAATTATATATATATATATATATATATATATATATATATATATATATATATATATATAAATTACCCTACTGGAACCTTTTTAATCAACCATGCATGACCATGTAGCGGCTATTTTGTTTTATATTTCAATGAGTTCTGGATCACAAGCTTCATTGAATACCAGTTACGAAATAAATACATTGTTTATTATTACGTAAACTGCAACTCTAACATTGTTAATTTGATAGGATTGTGTATAAATAAATAATACATCCGTAGATAATTTTATATAATTACGGAACAATATTATCTATCATTTATATCTAATTTTTAATAATACAAGTACCTCTATTTTATATTGTCATTCTCCTCAGTTCTGCGCCTGTCCCGAATCTAATCTTATTGTTTATTCTTGGGTTTATATCCATTCAATTTTTTCAATACAGTTTCTACATTAGGTTACATTTTTCTACACTTCTACTGTTCTGTTTTTAATTTCGTTTGTTAATTTTCATCCATTCCATTATATTTGATACACTTCCTTTATTATCATCATTGGCTCTATAACCCATAATAGGCCCTGTTCTGTTCCGAAATTAATTTTAATTCCTTCCTATTCGTCGCCTTGCTAAGTTCCCAATTTGTGTTTTCTTTGGTGACAGCTATAATATATCCTAAAAATTGAATTATTTGAATATAATATAATTTGTTTAAATAAATAATAATTAAATAATATTACTTTATTCAATTTTAAAAATACTGTTTTAATTATAATTATACACCTTAGTGATATTGTCTGTCAGCACTGTTTTAAATATGGAAATGTTTAAAAATTCTTAATTATTAATTCTGTAAGTTTCAATTACTAAACTATTGTCACCATGTGGATGTTTGGGTCTTGGCAAGAATTAACCCATTAACCCCTCTGCAGAGAGCTTCGACCAGCTCAATCGAGATTTCCTCTGCGATTCTTTCTCAATTTGGTGGGTTAGGTAATCTCTTACAATAAAACACAGTTTAGTAGTAGAAAGTTCCAAGCACAAGAGTCGAGCAGATACATTTTCGTCCGGAATATCGTGATGAGTTCAGTTTTACCTTAAATTTTTACCTAAAGAACTAATACTTTCGTCCAAGTCAAATATTTTTGCATATACACTTTTGTCCAGGGGTCGAGCTCCGTGGGGATCAATCCCATAATTAAAAAAAATTGTTGTCTTACTGCGATATAAAATTTATTATCTTAGATTAGTGAATTTCATTTACAACTTACAATATAGATAGCAAATCATAATAAAATTACTTAAAAACTAAAATAATGGGATGTATATTTAACATATTCCAGCCTAGTAATAGTTTTTTCATTAAAATTTGCTATTTTACTTTTCAAAAATTTCTCACGAGCTACAGTTTTGTTATTAGGTCTGTTACATCTATGAATACTTTGAATTCTAATGTAGATCTCATTTTGATATTGATTGAAAGCCTCTAAAAACACGAATATATTCGGATGGTATGTATTAAAGGATTTATGTAAGTGTGAATGGAAAGATTGACATGCATTGGTTGTTCTCGTAGTTTCTGATGATTTTGAATTGACCCTAAACTTATTTAACACCCTTATGAATTGATTTTTCAAAATCAATGACAATATCTTTTGGAAGAAAATTTAAAGTTAGCTCTGAACATTTGGTCCTTATCAAATTGAAACATGTTTCATATGTAGATGATAATTTATCTGGCAATAAACAAAATACTAGTGGAATGTAGTGGCCATTGTAGTATCCATGAATTGTAAACATTTGATAATAGAATTTTGTGTAGACGGCAGCGTTATAACCTTTGGTACATCTCCAGCGTGATTCCCCACTTTTTAACTTTTCGGCAAAATTTAATTTATATTTATTCACGAATAAAAGAGGAGCACCTCTTTTATTCTTCAGATTGGAGTATCTGAAGAGAATAAATTGAGATTTATTTGGGTTATCTGTTACTCTCCATCTCCCAGACCATCTATCGACTTGGTCAAGGTGATTTTTAGCAAACCTTCATAAAGCATCTACATCTCGGGATGTTGTTACGAGAGCAGTGTCATCTATGTAGAGTAAAGGGAGGGTGTTTGTGTTTCGTGGGTTGGGGAAGTCGCTTTTGTATATAGTGTAGAGTACTCTAGGAGTAAATGAGGCTGGGAAATAACGTCGAACCTTTACCGTGATTTTACGTTGAGCCTGATGATAATTTACGGTCGTTTACACTTTGAGTAATATGTGTGACGATTTCTGTCAATGCTGTTGTGGTGGAGTGACCTTCTCTAAAGCCAAATTGAAATATAGGGATTGTGCTCTGTGATGAAGTCGATGAGTTTCTCCTTAAGGATCCTCTCGAAGACCTTAGCCAAGACGTTAAGTACTGAAATCGGTCCTAGGTTTGTCCTTTTTCTGGAGTATGATTGTGTTTGCCTTTTTTCTGGAGCATGATTGTGTTTGCTACCTTTCATGGCGATGGAAAGTAGCAGAATCTGATAGTGACATTGACAATGTTCGTCAGATAGAGTGTGACGCTCGGCGAAAGTTGCTTCACACAGTTCCTGGCAATGTTGTCAGGTCTTGGTGAATTTGACTTGGCTTGTAAAATGCGGCCTTTTTGTCAAAGTCATGTGGCCAATCGTAAACTGTATAAGTTAAAAGGCGGGGCGATGCGCATTGACGTGCTCATTGGTCCACAGACTAGGACACGCGATAACAATATACAGACATAAAGAAAAAAAGGAGTTTTATTTACAAATATACAACAGACGGCATACCTGTTAATTCACTGCAAAATTATTTGTTTATGTTTCGGTCGATAATCCAACCAGTTTTGCTATATTTATATGTATATATAATTTTTAATTAATAATATTTTTAATTTTTCAGTACAAAGCATATCAAGATGTTATCAATGATGTGATATTAAATGCTAGAGAACACTTCATCGAAGATGGGGTCGATGAAGCAGTATTACAAGAACTCAAACAACTATGGGAAACAAAACTAGCAGCTACAAAGGCAGTAGACGAAAATAGAGATGCTGATAAAGTAATAAGTAAGTTCTGAACATTGCACTGACCAAAATTATGTATTTTTTATATAATTATATGATTATCTCACCTTTTAGATAATGCAGTAATTATAAATCCATCAATTTGTTATTATTTAAAGATGTTTTTCAGACATTGTTTAATATTTTTATAATAAACATTTCTGCCTGGTTATTTTGTTTAGATTTAAGTAGTTATGTTTTAACATGTTTAAAAAAAAGAAATAGCAAATTTGGTCCGGCAGAACGCAAGATATGTCATTTTTTCCGAGAGCTCTATTTTGTAATCGTGTTGAATATTTTGGATAGCGCGCCTTTTCCTTCAGTTGGCTACTTCCACTTCTTTTATTCTAGTAGAAAAGCAAAGTACTCTTTGTTTACAACACTCCTGTTTAAACAATTTTTAATAATTTTGTTTGAGAAAAGTTTTGTTAAAAACTTTGACTGTTGTTATAGAAGATTAGTTAACTTTAGCCTTAATGTTGTTAATTAACGTAACAGTTGTTAAAAAAACAGAGCTATCTTAGCTCCTAAGGGTCTTTAATAAGTTGTTTTTTAATCAGATTTCCGAATATTTTTTGCTATTTAATTTGAACCAAATTCTACGGAGTAGAAATTATTGTAATTGTTTATAAGCTTAAAAAGTGCTATTTATTCTTAAATCATTTTGTATACATAAAAACTGTTTTACAAAGGTTAATAGTATACGTCTTAACAAAGAAAATAAGCACCAGATTATTGAGATCCATTCAGTCAGATTATCTGGACCAGCCATAGAAACTAGCTCTTTTTTTTTAATCTTATAAACAAATTAAATTTCGCAAAAACTTTTTAACCAATCTTACTCATCTTTTGCACACAGTTCAAACACTGTAAGACCTCAAGTTTAGAAAGATTTAAACAAATTTTATTAAATAATAAAAAAGTTATTAACAATAATCAAAAACAGCGATTTTGCAATAACTTTTTTGTTTATTAACCGATTTTAATTTAGCATATTTCATCTTTTTTTGTTTGTTGACGTCAAATCTCTAAATAGACAAGTTTTTAGGTTATGAGCAAAATAATGAGATTGACGTTTTGATTGTTATTTCCAAATATTTCCACTAAAAAGTTTATGAATCCCTAGATGACTCTTTTTGTATTATATCATACTACACATTTCAACTAATAAGCCTATACACCTATACGCCTATACAGTTGTATCCAGTAAAAACTTAACTTAATTGGCCTATATTTTTAATTATTATTCCTTGTAAGCCACATCGAGAAATATTTCTCGATCGAAATTGTATACAATTTCTTATTTCAGGTCCGAATAACAAACCAAAGCCGGAATACATTAATCAACATTATATAAAACCACTACCAGCGACTGTTCATCAGTTGCAATTGCAACACCAACAGCAACAACAGCAGCATCATCAACAACAACAGCAGCAGCAACAACAGCAGCTATTGTTAAATAGCAAACAAATAATAGGCCAAGTTCCTCCAAATAATCACATGCCTCAGGGTACGTATCAAATTATTTTATAAAGTTTACTCTATCTTACCCAAATTTTATGAGATGCAAAAGTTAAAAATGTTATCTTTTAAAGTAAGAAGAGGAGAGATCGAATAAGCTTTTCTTGCTGTTTTAATTTTTTTCCAGAAGATTACTTTGTATGATCTCAAATATTCGAAAATATATATTGTTATAGGTCCCCCCGGTATCGGTCTTCCAGAATGGCGTCGAGTTCCTATCCAGATAAACATTCCATCTCCCGGTTCTGCAGATGGTCACAGAATACTCTCTATAGATGTGCCTGAGGTCTTTCTCCAAGGCCATCACCTCAGGTCAATTCTGACCGGGCAAGCAATTAGCACAACCATGAGCTTACCTTTGGCAACTGCTTGTGCTTACCTTCAGGATCACGTTAACGCTGCTTTCATAGAACATCAGCAGAGTTATTACAATTCTCTAAGCAATGGTAACCCGCAAATGCACAATCATATGCATGATCGCTTACTTGAAAATAGATTAAGAGGTATACCTCAAGGTGATGGTCCAGCAGATTATTCCTATGCATCTTTAACTAACTCTTCAACTAACCCCCCTTCACAAAAAAGTAACAATAAAAGATCGAAAGGTAAGCATTGTATATATGTAGTGTATATAAAAGGATTTTAAAAGTTTAACATTAGCCTTCAAAGAAATAAAAATGTGTTTAATATATTTACGTATATAGCTGTATAAATAATTCTTTCGCTTGCTAGATTCTAGCCGATAACTAATAGAGTTATTGTCAAGACAATATAGTTATCTTCCTAATAATTATTTATTATTATTTTCTATTCTATTTCCAATCTTTGGTTTAAAAAGTACAATTAATTAATATTTAAATATTTCCATATAGGTAAGAAGCTCTTAATTTTTGTATCCACATCATTTTCATCAGTTATTTTTTAGATGTTTTTTTTATTAAACTGTTCTGTAGAATTATGCTCATTTTGTCAAATTGAATTATATAATTGGAGTTTCAAGCGCAGTTTTAAACATAAACTTTAGGATCCTATTGTCGTGACAAGCAGATTAATACACACCTACTTATTTTATTTAGAAAAAGGAGAGAATGAACCAAAGATTACTATGTCTTGAATTGTATATTAAATTACCTACAAAAAAAAAATGAAAAATGAAGAGATATATGGAAAAAGTAGTCCAAGATCATAAACGAAGAAAATGCCTAATAACTGTAGTAAATTAATTCCAATATTACCCAAAAACAAAAAACAGCGAAGATAACTTAGACATTACCCAAACAGAAAAAAAAACGGCGAAGAAACCTTGAATGGTCAAAGAGATACTCGAGCTAATGGATGACCATAAAAGAATATGGAAGAACAAGAAATATAAAGAGGTTCGTTCACTGATAAAAACGAAAATAATTAAAGCAAAAGAAAATTGAACGACGGAGATCTGTGAAGAAGAGTTTTTGCAGATAGGTATGACGAAAGAATGACCCACAAGAAAATTAACAAAACAGTAGGAATAAAAAAAACAGAGGTAACAATATATATAATAAGTAACGACAACAAAATATTAACAAAAGTATAATAAGCAGTAGATAAACGGAGAATGGATAAATTACAGAACTTATTTAAAGGTAATTAGCCCAGTAAAGAAAAAAAAAACACCTAAAAATCTTGTATTGGTTTTTGAGGGTACTATAAGGTAAATGAGGGATAGCTGATGACAAATTCTTGAAAACGTACAACTGATTTTGCTTTGTTTTTTTGACAATCATCAACAATAAAAAAACATTTTTTGTTTATAAAGTTTTTCTTATACATTTTAGAGAAAAATATATCAGATAAAAGTTGTAGATCTTAAAAATTTCTTCTAATTTGCGAGTTTCTATATTAAAATACATAAACAATCGACCGAGACTCATGAAAAAACACTGTTTTTTATTTCAGCAATTTATTTATTTATTTATTTAGCGTATGGATAATTACAATACGATAAAAGTAATATTTAGATAATAATTATGTTCAAATTGGAATTGTAACCTAAGTTAAATATTAAATATTAATGTCCAAATTGCATAGCCATTCAATTGCACCAGGAGAACACTCTGCGAAATCTTGAAGGTCTCCGCTGTATCTGTGGATTGGGCAATCCGCAATGATGTGTTGGACGGTCTGTCTTGTGGATCCACAATCACATTGTGGGCTTTCTGCATGACCCCATCGGTATAGAGAATCGGCACATTTGCCATGACCCGTGTGTATGCGATTTAATTTTGTCCATATAGGGCGTGGCAGGTTTGATCCAGTAAATCGACGTACTTGTTATTTTGATGACGTCTGGCTCTGTTGTTGGCATCCATCTTTTCGTCCACTGCTCTTGCTTATTGTAGCTATCACCCATTCCCTGAACGGATTGGACAGGGGGTCGTCTGGACTTCAGTCTTTGTTGGTCTCGTGCGGCGTGCGGAATATACTGGTGAATTGGCAAACGATTATTTGCCATGATTTTCTGATATTCTCTGACAAGTGCTGCCGTTCGTCGAATATCTGGAGGTGCTATATTGCTCAGAATTGGAAGCCATATTAGTGGAGATATTACTCTCATAGTGTAATTTAGTTGAACATCAATCTTGTTGACATGAGCGCTATTTAGCCATACCGGTGCGCAGTATTCAGCGACAGAATACACCAGGGCCAGTGAGGAGGTTCGAAGTGTATCCGCAGTGGCACCCCATGTCGTTCCAGCAAGCTTTGTTATTATGTTGTTACGGGTTCTCAGTTTGGCAGCTACATTCGTAAGATGGGTTTTGAACGTCAGTGATCTGTCGAGCGTTACACCCAGGTATTTAGGGTTGTTATTATGTTTCAAAGTCTCGCCATTGAAGGTGATGCTAAGGGTGTCATTCGAAAGCTGATTTGTGAGATGGAAGAGGCTTGTCTCAGTTTTGTTTGTATTAGGGCGAAGTCGCCATTGTTTAAAGTAGTCGCAGAGAACCCTTAAGTCTTCGGTAAGCGCCCTTTCTCCAACATCTTTGACTTGGTTTTGAAATGCGATAGCCAGGTCATCTGCGTAAGCAAATTTTTTTTGATTTTGTCTCTGGAAGATCGGCTGTGTAAATGTTAAATAATAGTGGAGCAAGCACTGAACCCTGTGGGAGGCCATTATTTAGCTTTCTGACATTGCTCTTTGTATCGTTTATATATACTTGAAATAGTCTGTTGGTTAGTAGGTTATTGATTAGTTGGCAGGTTTTCAGGCATGGTATGACCTTCATTAGCTTGTAGATCAGGCCTTCTCTCCACACAGTGTCATATGCAGCCGTCAGATCTATAAACGTTACGGCTGTTTTTTCCCGTTTTTCGAAACCGGCTTCAATAACGTTACGGCTGTTATATATATAAGTCGCTCTAGTAGTGTGTAGCAGCAACTGAGGAAGGCAATGGGTCGATAGTTTTCGGGTAGTTCACCGTCCTTTCCAGGTTTTAAAATTGCAATAACTTTGGTTCTTTTGAACTCTGGAGGTAGTACAGATGTCTTCATTATGTCACTAAAAAAGTCTTTGAGCCAGTGTCGCGTTTTTGGACCACAGTGAATTAGGAACTCAGGATACATTCCATCGAAACCTGCCACTTTGCCTTTTTTAATTTGACTGAGGCCATCGTTTATTTCGTTCAGAGAGAAGCATCTTGAAAACTCTGAAGTAGGAGGAGTGTTTGTCTTAAGTTCTTTTAGAGCTTTTTTTGTAGACGTCGTATGGATTTTGTCAGAATTTCAGCAATTTATAAATGTTAATAGCTTTGTTCTTTGTAGTAATATAACTACTAAAAGTTATAGTAATTAATGAGCTATTGAAGTGTGTTAATTCTCAGCTAGATCGACGAATTTGTAAGTTATTCAATTTGTTTATCATGGAGAGCGATTCTTCAAACAATTTTACTTTTTTTGAGGCTTACATTTTAAGATAAGATAAGATTCTTGTTAAGATTTTAAATTTATATAAATAATATCATTAATCAATACGATTTAACTATTTCTCCTGAAATAATAGTGAAATTTCCGCTTTTCCGGTAAGTAAAAATTCCTGTTCTTATTATTTTATCGAGTTGCATCAATTTAAAAAAATCTAGCTTCTGCATGCCATAGAAACTCAGATACTGCGATTTTTTCAGCGCGCTTCAATTTGAAGTTCCATATTAAAAAAAGACGGAGCTCGAACATGCCGTATTTTACGATTATCATCACTTTAATGGGTTATACCTTTTTACTGCTTCTCGGCATATGTCTTTTATAAAAAGGCCCATAAACTTTAGATCCTCGTTTATAATTTGTTCAATATTCAGCTTTTTGTTAACAAACAATGGAAAAATGATTTTAAGAAAAAAAATTACCATCTCGGCTCCTATTGCCCTTATTCTAATTCACTAAAACACAATAATTTATATCAATTTATTATATCACTTATTCGATACAACAATTTATTTTCGACTAACTGCTCTCTAAATAAAATGTCCCATATATATATATATATATATATATATATATATATATATATATATATATATATATATATATATATATAAATAACGGTTAGTTCTGGAATCAATGACCAGATCGAAGAATCGATGACCTTCCATCGAAGGAATTTCATCAAAAGCAGGTTTTTTTATATCGGAGAGGGGCCCATCGTTTCAGGTGGGTATTACCTGGAATTTCTGCCAGCTGGTAAAATTTAGAATATATCAGAATTAAAAAATATTTATGAGACATATTTATCGTAACAGAAGATTCTTTTTTTTTAGATTGTGTTCTTTCATCATCATCTTTTCAGTAGGCCTACTTACATGCGCGTGACATAAAAAATATAAAAGTTATTTTAAATGTTTATAAGCTAAAGAGTCATCCTTTTTTAAAACGGTTTTTTTTAATAACAATTTTGATAAAATGTTGAAATTGTTTTAATGTATCTTAAAATTTAAGCCTCAAAAAATCGATTGAGATCTGCTAAAACACCTCTAGAGTCACTATTTGGGCAAGTACAGTTGTTTAAATAATTGCTATCCAGGATAATCAAATGAATAATGTACAAACTATTTGGACGATCTACTGAGATTTAGTACAGTTTAATAACTCATTAATTGCCATCATCTCATGAAGTTATATTACATGTCATTATGCAAAAAAAAGTTATTAACATTTATAAATTACTGCAAAAATAAGGATTTTTTGCAATTATCATAAAAATGTGTTATAGGCAATAATTATTCTTTTTGTTTGTTAAAAAAAAAACAAAGCAAAATCAGCTGTACGTCTTCACGGATTTGTCTTCAGGTAGTCCTCATATGCCTTTTAAAATATACAAAAACATGTACAAGAATTTTTCATTTTTTTTTCTTTATTATCCTATACACCTTGACTGCCTAATCAACAAAACACTTGATCCAGATCAAGAAGTAAAAAAAATGATAGAAATGGTCAGAAACGCTTTCCTAACAATGCGACTATTCTTTGTAAATGTTTTTATACCTACACTTCGATACTGCATGGTGAAATTTTATGTAAATAGATAGCATCCTGATATATGGCATGGGAGCATGGGCAATGAAAGTCAATACAGTGCGAAAACTGGAAACCTTTGTAATATGGATATCTCGCTGCATGCTGAAGATTTCTTGGACAGACCACGTCAGAAACGAAGAAGTTATAAAACAGATGAACATGGATGGAGAATTGCTAGACATAGTGAAAAAGCGAAAAACAACTGATCTTGGGCATTGGGCACGTAGCACGTAGAAGTACGATATATATATATTACTTCTTACAACTGACAATGGAAGGCAAGATTGAGTACAGGCGAAGTCCTGGTAGACAACATATGATGCGGCTAAGAAACATCAAACGGACTTAGTTCTCCAATCCATAATAAGAAAAACTCAAGATAGATTACAATTTGCAGAAGTCATCGCCAACCGTCACTAGAAGGGAATACGTGACGAAGAAGATTACTCAAAACTTCCCGTAATTTAAAAAGATGATTGTGACCAAACAATAGAACAAATATGGGGAGAAAAGTTTGAACGCATAAAAAGATGAAAGTTTGCAATCAATACCGTATATGTGACAAAAGAAACTAAATTGGAAAGAAAAAATTAATATCAACGAAAAAATCATGGATCTTGGACTAAGCATGAAGCATAAATAAGCGTTACCTGAATGCAAAAAAAGAACATGTTCAAGAATATCTACGCATAATGCCCACGCCTAGTCTACAGCTAAGCGTCAGAATAAAGAAAATCAGACCAAAAATCATGAAGAAAATTTAGTTTTCCTACAGAAAGAAAAATAAACCTATTTTAAAAATTCTAAAGTTATTATTCTACAAGATTAACCGATCAAATGTAACTCTGGATATCTGCTATGTGTAAATTTAGCTCACAATTAATGCAAAAATGGATATCGGGTACTAAGTATATATTACAGAAAATAAAATTTTTACTAAAACTCATTTAGACAATATGTGATGATTCTTACATTTGTCTTATGGTTAGTATTTCATTTTTTTAGGTAATAATTCAGATCCCGTGCTCAACTCCTCCTTTCCAAACGATCTTGAAGATCAGTTACTTCTGAATAGTCTAAGAGGAATTCCTCAGGGCGATGGACCTGCCGATTCCTCAGATGATGATGATAAAAGTGATGAAGGATCCGAAGAAATAGAAGACGAAAAAGAAGAGGACGAAATGGAGGACGATCTTACTGGAGAAGCTGAAGACGAACCATTAAATTCTGGAGATGATGTTTCCGATGCTGATGGAACGGAAGAATCCTTTGAGACTGATAATGTGATAGTATGCCAGTATGACAAGGTATATTTTAGGCAATAAACTCATGAGTTCATTGAAATAAGACATTTATAAAAATTGTATAGTTTTCTATCTACTTCTTTTTCTATTTAAACATTTAGCTGCATCTGTTATTACAAAATATTTTCGCTCAAAGATGTTACTGCAGTTTGTTACCTAAATCACCACTTAGATGCCATCTAGTGGTTACTAGGTTATCTCCCTTTTTAGTTTAGTTCCACTTTAGTTTTTACAACGAATATAGAAGAAATTTCAATGCGAAAATGGTCACGGTTATTGTACTTTAAAATACTCCTGCAGATGCCGACAGGATAAACTTTATATTATTTATAGATTTCTACATATTTCAATTAAAAATTTGAATCACAATATTATTTGTAGTTCTAAAAGATTCAGTAATTAAAAAGTACTAAAAGTTAAAATAAAATTTTATTTTCTATAAAAAAGATATGGTGCATGAGTAGAATTTGATCTCCAATTTTATAAAATGCAAAAATTTAAGACTAAGAAGCTTTTCCAGCCCAAATCCTAACATATTTCAGAAGCCATCGTTGACCAGGGATGGTGCAGTGGTGAAGGGAATCACATGAGTGCTCCCTGGTGATGTCTGAACAGAAAAAAAAGTAAAATGTTGCTACAAGAAGATTTTCCTATTCGTGAGGGATTCACTTGATGGTTACATAATCAGAAAAATCAAAATGAAAATTTTTTCAGATATATTTTGTTTTGCGACGTAGCTACATTCACAAAAAATGAAATTTTTAATATAAATATTGCACATTATTATTCGTACGTTGGTGATAATCCCCACATTGTTCAAGAAATTAATCAATCATCAGCATAGGTTTAGCATAAACGTCTAGATAGGAGTTGACGATTATCTACATGGACCTGTGCTGATAAACTACATTTCCTGCAAAATGTTTTACCTGATTTGTTCGATGATATACCGTTAAATATTAGGCAAAACTTATTGTTTCTAAATGACGGATGTCCAGCCCTCTGTACCAGGAATGTAACAGACTTTCTTGATAATAACTATGAAGACTACTTGATTGGAAGAGGTGGTCCATTTGCTTCGCCAGCAAGGTCGTCAGATTTGAATCCTATTGATTATTGTGATACAAGATGCTTGCAACCAATTTAGAAATAACTTTGGAATGTTTGCAAGAATTTCGCGCTCTTAAGCAAAATGGCAAATGTATGCATAGACACTAATGGTCATCACATCGAGCATCTTTTGTAGTAATCTACCTTGATACTTGTTCTTTTGTGTTGGTTTCGTTCTATTATAGTTTTTAAAATCCCTTAAATAAAATTTTGTTTCAATTTGATTTTTTACTTCTTTTACCAAACTTGTTTACGAAATGTGTGCTGCATTTGTTGAAACAAAAGATAATTTATAAAATTAATTAAGGTACCTTCATTTAACTTTCATGACGAAAAAAAGAAAAATTTTCAAAACGATTGTTCCAGTAAAGTAAGAGTATCATTTGGTAATAAAATACCTAAACATTTAATAATCTAGTATCACAAATGCTTAAAAGTTAGAGACAAAAACTTATGCGTTAAAATAACCGTTGACCGACCCAAAACGGACAATCATGGCCGGTACAAGAAATTCGCAATTAGCGGAATCGATTTAACAGACATTCTAGTGTTATTTAAAAAAAAACTGATTACAAGGTACCATCTTCAAAGAGCTCTAGCTCCCTTTGGAAGCATTGTCGTAGTAGGTGAATGGGGTTAAATTGTCTTAAAATTATGTGAAGAATCTCCGGTTTTCGTTTGTCGGGAGAATTAGTTAGTTCCATAGTTATTTAGTTCCATAATTACAGTATTTAATGACTTTCTGGCTCATTTTATTTGAAAAAAGTGTATTTTTCTTATTTGTAGTGGAAACTTACTTAATAATCTCTTTTTCATATAATGTGTCTATAGGTTTTTATAATACCGTTATTCGACTGAAATCATATTTGTTTTAGATTACAAGAAGCAGAAACAGATGGAAGTTTCATCTGAAAGATGGCATCATGAACTTAAAGGGTGAAGATTTTATTTTTCAGAAGGCAAACGGAGATGCTGAATGGTAATAAGGAAGGAAGCTAGACAAATTTTTCATTTGGTTTTGTGATTTTTACGATTGACTCATTTTATTTTGTATTACTAAATGAAGTGATTTCTAGTTAACAACTAAAAGTTACCATACGTGACTGAATATTCCCCACAGACAAGAGTGACTTTCCTTGTTGATAATCTGGTGTTATAAAAGCAGTTAAAATCAAAAAAGAGTCGTTAAGTATTGGTATTTTAATGATTCAAACTTTATTAAAGTCATGTGACTCCTAAAAAAGCTTAAGTAAACGATGTAAAGGCCATATTATTGCATTGTCTTAGTGAATTACTCCAAATGTTTTTATTTCAAGCCCCCAGGTTTATTAAGTCAACAGTATTTTTAATAAATAAAAAAGAGGAATATTTGGTTTTTTCAAACGCTAATGATTCGAGAATGCTATTATTTTGTCCTCTAATTGTAATACTCGTTTGTTTGATCTTGCTTGTTCCTTAATTAATATATAAATACAGATGAGACCTTACATTTTATATTCATATGTATCGGTGATCATAATATGTCTTCCACTGGGCACACTCACTACTGTTATATATCTCCCATGCTATAAATATGTTCATTCTTTACCTACTTTTAGGATTTCATGTGTCTGGTTTGTAGTATGCATTATGTGACACGGTAGATCTTTTATCTACTTTATATATTTTTGATTTTGCTTCACTTATTTCTTATTCTTGCTTCATTCCATTCAATCTCGCTTCATTCAACTTTCATTTTTTTTTAAACAATATATGCCAAATGGGAACTAGTTACGTCTGTTGGGAAATATGTTAGTCCTGTATGGATCAGGCCGTTATTCATACTGACGAAACTCGTTCCCCAAAACTAGTTTAAGATATCTAAGATATTTCAAGTTTATTATATTAAGTTTGATTATTATTTTGAAAAGAAATTCTGATTATCAAATTATATACACATATAGTATTTTTATTTATTTATTATATTATATTTTTATGTTGTAGAACTTAGTAGATTGTTTGGTAATCGATTGTTACCTTTATGAGAGAGTATGTTAATGTTTTTGGGCATTATATGTTTTGTTCTCAAGTATAAACTTATTTCTTACCTTACACAATATTCCCTATACAAAAGAAGCATTTGTGAACATTTAGTAACATGTATAAAATGTTGAAAATCTTGGAGGATTACTACCACCTTGAATCCAAAAAAGGAATGAGACTAATGGAACAAAATGGAGAATTTTCACATACGAACAAGAAATAAAAGAACTAAATATAGTAGACTAAAGCAATCGTGTCGATAGGCTGTGGAAGCAAATGAAAAAAAAGTACAGAGACAGCAGAACTAATAATAGGAAAAAGTAGAAAGAGAATAAAAAGTGGTTTGATAAATAATGACAAGACAGACAGAAAAAGTGAAATGTTATGATCTAACATAAACAACAGAAAGTAAAGAAAACTTTATAACGTAACGACGAGAAACAAGAAAACTAATTAAAGATAAAAAAGGAAACGTGAACAATAGCAGTATGAGGACATGGAAAGGACATAGAGGAATACCAACCCGGATTCAGGAAAAATAGATCGAACATACGACATTTTTGCCTTAAGGCAGCTGCTTGAAGAAGGATAAGAATTCAATAAAAATATCCATAATCACTTCTTATACTTTTGATAAGCATACGATAATATTAAAAGGGATCAGATCCGAAATGCAATCACAGAACTCTCGATTTAAAAAAAAACTGATCCAGCTCGTTAAAATATGTGTAAATGACTGTAGATCCCGAGTATAGAGTATATACAGGCACAGAATAAATAACAATCAGAATGCCCACTCTCAGATGTTGCTTTTGAAGTTTGTCAGCACGCGATCGCTATATTTTAAACGGAAACAGACTCAAATTGAGAAATTTGTGACAAGCTAATGTAATTGTGTGAACTGTAATTTAAATTTTTTGGGATTAATATTTCAGTACATTTGAAATAATTTAAGCTATGCTTTAACTAAAAGTACGAATATAATAATGCATATTATGTCTATAGTTGCCGTAAATAAATTAAACCGAGTTAATTTTTGTATGCACACCAGATAAAATGTCACTGAATAGCACTGGTTCCGTTTAAAACATGGCCTTTCTGTCTGCGCAAACGATACAAGTAACCAACTCTCAGAAACGGTTGAAGTATACAGTGGCCTAAAACAAGGAGACGTACTGTCACCTCTCCTCTTTAATACAATTCTGGAAATGGAAGTAAGAATAGCACGAATTAGAACATATATATTAACAGTAAATGAGTCAAAACTATTGTTAGCATACAAAATTGTTGGAAACACCGTAACCTCAATAAAGGAAACTTTTTACAAAATACAGATTGTGACAAAAACGGGTCTTATATCAATGAAGAGAAATCTTAATACATTGGCATTCATAGACAAAAGAAACGAGATAGGATAGGGCAAAATATAACAATAGACCATCTCGACAATAACGATATCACAGAAAATATAAAAGGGAGAATTCATTCTGCAAATTTTATGCGTTACTTTAAGAAAACATCGGACAATCGTAACTGCTAACTGTAAGTTGTCTACATTTGGCGCAATGTAGATAGATAAACTGACATAACTTCGTATGTCTGTGAGTGCTCTGCATAGATATAATAAGAATTCTTATTATGTCTATGGTGCTGTGAGTAATTGGGTTATGTTTTGACAATGAATTTTGTTCATTCTATCAAACATAATACCGTTATGAATGTTCTATGAACAATAGACAATTTTTACTATATATTTGAACTGAAATTATACAAGAAATAAACACAATATCCGATTTTACTTTTTTAAAAAATATAAGATTTTTTATTTTAATGGCATGCTGCAAAAATCTACTAGGGTCAAAGAAATCAAAATAATATTTCAAAAGTGGTTTAAAATATGGAAATGTGGATTTCTGCTGACGAAGCTACAATAGTAACTCTTTTTCTCAGTTTCTATAGTCACGAGGCCACGAGGTATCTATGAAAGTAATAGTCACATAAAAAAGAAGAATTTGTTGAATTTTATATGTTTATAGGACAGAACACATATTTATAGTGATTTTTTTGTGTGTAAATCAATTTTTTAAATATACTTTCTTTTTAACTTGTTGTTTTAATTGTTTTATAATAACAATCATATAATTTTTATATTTTTTATTCGTAATTATTATATATTTTTGGCTTTCCATTCCTACAATAGAATTTTCAAGTCTAAAATTATAATAACAAAAAATTAGCTGATAATTGTTTCTTTGAAGTTTTATCTTAAATATTTTCAAGGAGTAATACGTTTTTATCATACAAAGATGTATGAAATGCCATGATGTATTTATTACAATATTATATTAATTATATTTTATAAGTCGTCTAATTTTTAAATAAATCTTAAATAATCTTTAACTATTCGTTATATCTCGTGTAATTTTCTATTCTTGTATCTTTGAATTTTTCGGTGATAAAACAACTCCATACATACTAAGTATTTTTATATGCACTTTCTGGTCTGATATTATATTTTCCAAAATAGATACAAAGTTAGTCCAACCATTGTCCAACTAGATGATGTCATAAGCAATGATTATTTGCTATAATAATAATGGTCCAACTTTATGTTTCGAAACAGTTACTTCGGAGCTGTTCTAAAAAAGTGTTCGTTTCTTTTGGTAACAACTCTATTGTGGACGTGCTTTTATAAGTAATGGCGTTGTCAACAATGAGCAAGAAGGTTTTATTATAGTATTCACAGACATTAACAAATTTTGTAGTTATATTTTAGTCGAGGTATAATTTTAAATGAAAAAAAATGAACGGTCTAAGTTTAAGTGAATTGTGTTGTTTGTTTTGTTGCCCACCTTGCCCAAGCAAAATATCAGCCAAACTAGCCTTCCTACCACCTGAGCCAACATACGAATTTGTGTCAGATGAAAATGGAAAATATACTTTTGCTTTGACTGAACGGGCAGAATGGCAATTTTCGGAAAGAGAAAAAGAAAACATTGAAGTTTTTTTCACTAGAACCAACCGAGGAAACCGAATTGCTTGTTTATTTGTTAGATGCAGCAGCAATGCTAGATTTACAATTTTATTTTCACATGGAAATGCAGTGGATTTGGGACAGATGAGTAGTTTTTATTTGGGTTTAGGTTCACGTATTAATTGTAATATATTTAGTTATGACTATTCGGGTTATGGTGTAAGTGCAGGGAAACCTTCTGAAAAAAATCTGTATGCTGATATTGATGCTGCTTGGCAGGCATTAAGGACTAGATATGGTATTAGCCCCGAAAACATTATTCTTTACGGCCAAAGTATTGGTACTGTACCCACTGTTGATTTAGCTGCAAGATATGAAGTTGGAGCTGTGATATTGCATTCTCCTCTCATGTCAGGAATGAGAGTTGCCTTTCCTAATACAAAAAGGACTTGGTTTTTCGATGCCTTTCCCAGGTCAGTATATCTACAATAAATTATTTTTTAATGCTGTTTCTTTGTTTAATTCTAACAAAGTATACATCTAACAAAACAATAATAACAAAGTTTCACTTATGTAAATTTAAATGTTAAGAAATGTAAAGTTGTATGTCACTAAGTTTTACTTTTAACATTTTATAAAATTTGCTTTTAATGCTGTTTTCCTTTGATCTGAAAACTATACAGTATTGTTATTTGTACTCTGTTTAATTTAAAATTTGAGTTAATCTTGATCAGATAAAAATATTTATTGAATAAATAAAAAATTTCTCTATCAAATCTACTTCAACTGCTATCAGGGGAATAGTCCATGGAAAATTAATTTAAAAAAGTATAATGTATACAATAAACAATAATGTATACAATTGGTAAGAAGCTTTTATAAGTTTATATTCATAAAACAAGTACATTTTTCTACTTCCCCTTTTGGGAATAGTTAGCAAATGGACATTAATCATACAAAATATCTGATCTGACACTAGGAGCTTAAATTGTTATATTTGCACTTGCATGATTTGAACAGTTAAATTCTTTGTATGTATTTCTGAACATGTTTTTGAACATTTGTTTTTTTAACAATTTTATTTATCTGGTACACCTTCTGGAAATAGACTAAGCAAACCCTGCCTAATATGAAAGAAGCATTTATTAAAAACTAAACATATAACAGGAGATGAATTTCTTAAGTACTTACTGATACTATAAACAAAAAGAGGCAGTTAAAATGAAGATCTTCATTGAAAATTAGTTCTATACATCATAGCTGATTTTACAGCAGTGGTTTAGAATTTTTCTTTCAATTTCTTTTTTATTGTACAGCACATCACTTGCCTCTTTATACCCTACCCTACAATAATACCCATCCTGGGTACCTAAAACTTTTACTTATCTCAATCATTTCAACATTTAAAGATATAATTTTATTTAGTAACTCTTTAAATCTTTAAATGAGCATTCCAAATACTCTGTTTTTGTCCTTTAAGTTTTTAAACCACTTTTTTTCAAACACTTGTCTCCACTGTTACAGTCTTTGTTGTAAATCCCTTTCTACTAGCAATATGTCATTGATATACATTAAGCACTAGCAAATGTTATCCTATAGGTAGTTTCCCTGTTATCTACTCCAACACCTATTGACCAACCAACTTCTCAACAAACTCATATCATTTTCTCAAGATCGGTGCATACCATGAGGGATTGTTTCTTTACTTCTTATCATTTAGTCAGCTGCTTTATAATGAACATTGCATCTGTTGTTGATCTGCCTTGTATAAATGTTGATAAAGTTCACATATCCATTTTATAAGGTTGAAGGCAGACCAAGAATATAGTTTATTGCTAATGACAAAAAAAATTACTGCTGTAGCTAATGAAATGGATATGATAACTTTACCAATACATTGTATAAATTTCAACAGATATTTTTGGATATATGTATCAGATTTTCATATCCATCTATCAATTACTCTCTCCCATATTTTCATGCTGAGACTAAATAGTTTTATTTTTATTATTTATTTATTTATCAATGGGTCTAGCCTTTTTTAGATAAAATTATAAAAATGTACAATCTCATTAGCAATACAATACATTATACATAAAGAAATTAAACTAATTAATTTAACTTTATTTGTTTAGTACAAAAATGTTGCTGAAGGTTACAGATAGTTCAAAACCAAAGCAAATTTCATAGAAACAAAATAAAATCTAAAATGTATCTTAAAGCAACTCACTATAAACTTGCTTAAAGTTATTTTTTAAAAATTCACAATTATCTGCATGAAGATTTGCAATACATGGTACTCTAGACATATATGACTTAAAACCAACATTAGTCCACCTAAAGTACTGATAAAAGATGATATCACATTTTTAACATTGGTAATGAGAATGTCTCTTGTAATGATGCAAAATTATAAGAATAATCATTTATTTTTGTTTTGGTTTATATGCTAGGTAACACAGAAACTTTCTCTGCACTTATGAACAATAATCTAATAGGGGCCCAAAAAACTAAAGTATATTAATCAAATAGCTATAATATTATTAAAGTCTGATGTATTTCTCTTAATATATCCAAGTATACCTAGAGCTCTAGAAACTATCATGATCTTGAATAGATGTGACTTGGGATAGCTATTAACATTTTATTCTACATTTTATCTACATTAACAAAATAGAGATTTTTTAAAGGGACAAAAACTGGTCTATTCCATTTGTGATACACTTTAATATAGTGAAGAAACAATCATCCCCTCCTAATCATTCATCCCTTAGTTACCATCCCTAACTAAAATTTTTTAATAGCACCCTGTACATTTTTTTATAGTTTTTAATGTGGTCTTCTTTTGTCTATTTAACCGATTTTTATAAAATAAAATAAAGATAAAATGGGTTTGTATGGTATCAAGAAATTATTTTTTATTTTTGTTAAATTAATCAAGATAGCCTTAAAAAATAGAATAGAAAAGAAATATGCTTTATTGTCACTGAAATTAGATAAATCGTCAATATTACAAAATAAAAGAATGAAAGTAAAACAAAAACAATTTATTGCAAACTTTAAATAAATTGCAAATTGAACACACTACTCTTACAAATAAAATACAACCTTAGGAACAATAAAACTTAAAGGAACAATAAAAATAAATGCAATAAAAAAATAAATCAAAACACCAACTAACAAACTAATATTATTTACATTAAATGTTCGAATTGTAACCCACCTATGGCCCACATGTGGCTCGAATCATTTCGGGAGTAATTTGGTGACATGCTTGTCTTATTTTTTCTTTTAATTCCTCTAAATTTTGCGGTTTTGATTGATAAACAATATCTTTTATCTCCCCCCAAAAGAAAGAGTCAAGAGGTGACAAATCACATGAACATGCGGCCCACATAATTTCTGGATAGTTGTTTGCTATCCACTGGTTATCAAAACGGTTTTGTAGGTGGTCGCTAACAATTCTCGCATTATGTGGAGGAGCTCCCTCTTGTTGCCACCACATTTCTTGACACTCATGAAGGGGAATATGTTCTAGCAAATCGGGTAGAATGTTTTCTAAAAAGTCTATGGGTTCTAAAAAGTCTAAGTAAAGTAATGTGGGTTCACGGGAGACCAATAATTGGAATTGTGACGGTTCACAACACCATTATTGTTAAATCTAGCCTCATCACTCCACAATATTTTTGATAAAAAAAGTGGGTCATCACTTATTTTTAACATCATTGTTGCAATAAACTCAAGACGTCTTTGGTCATCACCAGGCTGTAATCCTTGAATTAGGTGCATTTTAAAAGGATTGTACTTAAAATATTTGAGAATTATATGCACAGAACTTTTTGGAATGCCACATTCACTGGCGAGGGTTCTAACAGACACGTTGGGATTAAAATTAACATATGCTAGTACATTAATAAGGTTTTAGTTACATATTACTGTGCGTTCAATTGTAGCTCTTTTATTATTAGGAAACTGTCCCTGTTTAAGTTAGCTTTCCAAATTCATAAAAGTTTTTTTGCTTGGAATGTTTCGATTTGGAAACCTTTCTTGATATAATTGTCAGGAAATTCTCCTATTTTTTAGGCATTCTTCATAAATCAAAATGATATCAACATACTCGTCAGGCAAAAATAAATAAGGCATATTGAAATGTTATAGATATACAATTACAACAAATATAATTATTACTGGTCTAATAACAAATGTCAAAAATAATAATTGTTGATTTGACAGATCAAATCATGGCAACCTGAATTAAGGGTAATATCCAAGACGTAAAATAACCGCAAAAGTTTTTCAAATATTGTGAATTTATTACAAGATATTTTTTTGTTAATTTTTACACACTTACTTTCGCACACTGGAAGATAATGTATGCTCCTACACAGACCAAATTTTGAAAAATTAAAAATAATGTTTAAATAAGAAGAGTGTGTACTTTGTACGCATGTAAGAAGTTATACTACGTAGTTAAAATAGTAAAATTTTCAGTGATAATAAAGCATATTTTTTTCTATTCTATGTTTTAAGGCTATCTTGATTAATTTAACAAAATATAAAAAATAAAGTGATATTTTCGTGATACCTTACAAACCTATTTTATTTTAAAAAAATCAATTGAATAGACGATAGAAGACCACATCCAAAACTATAAAAAATGTACAGGGTGCCATTAAAAAAAATGAAGTTAGGGGTTGTAACTAAGAGATGAATATTTAGGGGATGATGGTTTCTTCATCATATTAAAGTGTATTACAAAGGGAATAGACCAGTTTTTGTCCCTTTAAAAAATCTCTATTTTGTTAATAAATATAGCCTGGATAAATTAGCCTGGGACACTTAATTAAAAATAAAAAATAAATTGATTTCTTGATTATTTACAAACCGATTTTATTTTTAATAAATCTGTTGAATAGACGATAGAAGACCACATCCAAAACTATAAAAAAATATACAGGTGCTATTAAAAAAATTAAAGTTAGGGATTGTAACTAGGGGACAAATGTTTAGGGGATGATTTTTCTATGTCATATTAAAGTGTATTACAAGTAGAATAGATCACTTTTTGTCCCATTCGAAAATCTCAACTTATCTGTATAGTTTGTATACTGTAAATATATCTAAAAATCTCTATATAGCGTCTCCACGCTATATAGAGATATAGCGTGGGTAAAATAGTCTGGGACACCCTGTATATATATATATATATATATATATATATATATATATATATATATATATATATTATTTTTGTTTTATTGTAATTTTAAATAGCACACATATATACTATATACATTGCAATTTTTGTTAGATAGGTATACATTAAAAATTTCTTTTAAACAAGTATATTTGAATATAGCTATTGTAAACATTGTTAATCTTATTGGGCAGCAACCTGTTGAAAATAAACAAATATTGATTCCATTTCTAAAACTCACATGTAATTTTTTTAGAAGACAAGATTAGTTCAAGT